CCCTTTCATTGGTGGCAGTGGGGGAAATTATGCCCCATTGTTAGTGTCAGTGGATGACATATTAAAATAATAGCAAACAAAGTGCTGCATCCGGCCCCCAGGCCGCAGTTTGAAGACCACTGCTCTAGTTACTCTGCTCACTCTTCCACTAAGCATATCAGACATTTTCAGCTGACAATTGTCTCTCATTCCTTTCCCTTTTCCAGTCTGTGTGCTGTTGTAGAGGGAATTGCACTACTCATGCCAAACCAAATTGAGGAACTTACACTGGCTGCATTATTAAAATAATGATTTATTAAGAAATTCATCACTGCATTAATCAGAGTCTCTTTGTAGCTGCTTGGAAATCAGCTTTAATCACTTGTTTACCTGAAGTCCAAATTTATTTTAGAAGAGTCAGAGTAAAAGTACAAACACTTCCATTTTCCTAACAGGAACTGAATGCGTAACCTGTAAACTTGCTTGTACCATCAGAAATCTCCCAGTTCCTCTTTTGTAGAAAATTCCTTTTACTTTCTGTGCTATTAATACATATTTCACTTCACCAATACCCCCACTGCACAACATTCCTTATCTTCAGCAGACAAAATGTATATAGCATAGCTCAACGTATATATTCATTTCATACAATGGGCTGGACAAATTTGGCCAAATTTCCAAAATGTTAAGAGCAACTTCATCAACAAGGGAAACAGATGCAAGGTGCTAAATTCTGAATGTGCAAAGTTATATTATTCTGAGTTTTAGGAAATCCAGTTTACAGAGTTTAGCAAACTTCTCACATTTACGTCTGTGTGGGCCTGCAACTTTTTGTTGTGCAATTTCACAAGACATTTGTGTCCGACCCTATTTATAAAGGCTGCTTACTAAGATAGTATTTTACAGCGCCTTGAAAAAGTCTTCATACCCCTTGGAATTTTCCACATTTTGTCATGCGACAACCAAAAACGTAAATGTATTTTATTGGGATTTTATGTGATAGACCAACACAAAGTGGCACATAATTGTGAAGTTGATGGAAAATGATAAACGGTTTTCTAAATTTTTTATAAATAAATATGTGAAAAGTGTAGTGGCATTTGTATTCAGCCCCCCTGAGTCAATACTTTGTAGAACCACCTTTCGCTGCAATTACAGCTGCAAGTCTTTTTGGGGATGTCTCTACCAGCTTTGCACATCTAGATAGTGACATTTTTGCCCATTCTCCTTTTGCACAATAGCTCAAGCTCTGTCAGATTGGATGGAGAGCGTCTGTGTCTTGCCAGATTCTCAATTGGATTTAGGTCTGGACGTTGTTTGGTTGTAACACGACAAAATGTGGAAAATTTCAAGGGGGATGAATACTGTGATGACGTGATCTTAATGAATAGGACAGGGATGATGAAAATATTAAGCATTCTGTTTGGTTCATTTTGATGCAGCTATCTTTGAGCTTATTGGTCATTTTGTCTGTGACGAATTGTCTTTGTGATACCATTTTGCCCTTTCTGTTCTGGTTTTATCCCCTTTGTAAAGCTGGACATGTTTCACAGACATTCTACACTGTTTCTTTAGGAAAATGTGACCTTGTAGTCTTTCACTTCTATAGAGTTCCTAGGTATTGTTGTATTGTATGGTTTGTTGTGGGTGGGGAAAACCTGGTGCCAGTCTGTCTGGTGGGGGTGGGGTGAAGTTGTATATACTGAGCTGTGTTTAATAAAGATTGTCAGTTTCACCCTACAGGAAGTTCTGACTCGTGTTTTTAACTATAATACCTGCCTTGGGGGAATGCTGGAAGACTTGCCGGAAATGAGGACCATTGGGTGAGATGCACTGCTCCGCACGAGGAAGCCCAGGCGGAACGGTTCCGCCACAATTGGTTGGCAGCGGTGGGATCTTTCCTCATTGCGGAGAAAGTCCAAACCACCAACCGGGACCCATCTTTTTTTCACGGAGACATCCCTGCTCAGCCAGATGGATATACGAGACCTCCAGAAGCCAGCCCTCCAAAGCATGCTTGTCGCTCGGGGAGGTATCGCTGGCTCCAAGACCAGAGAGGAACTGTTGGACGAGATTATGGCCCTGGACCAAGCGGATGCGCACCCCACTTCACCTGATGCACACTCCGCTACGCTTAAAGCGAACACCGCTCCACCAGAAGTGAACTCTGCTTCACAGGAGGAGTTGGAGGAACAGAGCAGCTCATCGGCCCCTGAAACACCAGGCCCACTTAGCACCGTACAGAGACCCCTATACCATTCGGATTTACGACAAGAGGTGGAGTGGCGTTTGTCTCTGTTTGGCAGCGCTCCCACCCCTGAACAGATTTCCAAGGCCCTGGACGATGCCACCCAACTGCGGCTTAGTCACTCCCGGTCATCAACCGAGGACTCGGTCTGGGAGAGGATTATCTCCTGCCTTCTCCAGACTGCAACCGGACCAAAGAAAATTCCCTACGCTGCTTTTAAAACTTTCTCAGAGGTGGATGGGGATATTGATAGCTTTCTTCAGGACTTTGAACATTTGTGCACCATCCATGGTGTGGCAGCCCAAGACCGGGTCCCCATTTTGAGCAGCAAGCTAACCGGTCGGGCTGCAGACGCATTCAGGACTGTACCCGACAGCTACTGCTTGGATTATGATTTTGTTAAGGAACACTTGTTGGCCCGCTACGCTCTCACCCCAGAGGCGTATCGCTTAAAGTTCCGGACACTCAAGAAGAAACCCCAGGACACCTTCACTGAATGGGGACATCAGTTACAACACACTGCCAGCAGCTGGGTCCGAGGGTGTCAGATCACCAAGCTAGAGGAACTGTTACAACTGCTGTTACTGGAGCAGTTTTACAATGGACTTCCAGGGGATGTTAGACATTGGGTCCGGGACAAACACCCCCTAACCTTAGCCGATGCTAGTCACTGGGCAGATGAGTACCTGGACAACAGGAGGCTAACAGAGCCCACCATTCCCCCTGCACCTCGTCCACAACCAGTGGTGCCCACTCTGGTCACCCGAGAATGCCTCAGACCACCCACACCTTCTGACCCAAAGCGGTCTGGCCCACGCTGTTATGGCTGCAACCAAACAGGGCACATCCGCATTCATTGCCCACGGAATCCACCAAGGCTCCAGAGCAGCCAACCCCTCGGGGCACTTCCAACCGACCTACCACTCCCTATGGCCGAGCCTCTGCTTACTCTCTACAGGACCACCCGAGTGACACCGCCTCTTCATGGAGGAATTTTACCACCGAGGATGAGGATATCGGGGTCTTTCATGAGGCTAACCCTCTCCAGGCTGCCACCCCGGACAATCGCCGACACCACCAACCAACAGGTTGTCCATGTTAACGGCCGTCAGGCCCAAGGATTACGGGACACTGGAGCCACACTCACCCTAGTCCAACCTCAGCTGGTACCAGACTGGGCCAAGACCGGGCGATCTGTGGCATTACGGGTAGCGGGAGGCCATGTCTACCGGATTCCTACCGCAAGGCTTCATCTGGATTGGGGGGCCGGGGTCAGGGACGTTGAAATTGGAGTAATGCAGAACTTGCCAGCTGAGGTTCTCCTTGGAAATGATCTAGGAGTCCTGGTCTCCACTTTTTTGGCACCGAGACCCCTGCTGAAGCTCAACCAGTACCGATCGGGGAAGCAAAACGCCAATGCAGATGGGTTGTCCCGGCAAGCCGAGTTGGAGAAGTGAACCTCTGAACCGACCAGCCCCAAGCGGACCTGTTTGAAGGTCTCGCCGGGTCTGGCGGGTGTTACACAACGGGGGAGCCTTGTGACGAATTGTCTTTGTAATACCATTTTGCCCTTTCTGTTCTGGTTTTATCCCCTTTGTAAAGCTGGACATGTTTCACAGACATTCTACACTGTTTGTTTAGGAAAATGTGACCTTGTAGTCTTTCACTTCTATAGAGTTCCTAGGTATTGTTTGTATTGTATGGTTTGTTGTGGGTGGGGAAAACCTGGTGCCAGTCTGTCTGGTGGGGGTGGGGTGAAGTTGTATATACTGAGCTGTGTTTAATAAAGATTGTCAGTTTCACCCTACAGGAAGTTCTGACTCGTGTTTTTAACTATAATACCTGCCTTGGGGGAATGCTGGAAGACTTGCCGGAAATGAGGACCATTGGGTGAGATGCACTGCTCCGCACGAGGAATCCCAGGCGGAACGGTTCCGCCACATTGTCTCATTGCTTAGTAAGCCCCATGCCATGGAGGTGTTCATGTTACAGATAATAAAACTGTATGCAAATGATAAATAGGCCTTTGCTCTGCCTACATTTGTGCTGTAAGCCAGTATGTTCTGTGTACTTATAGCTATGCTCAGCATATCCTGGGAGAGACCCATAGCAGCTCTCCTGCATGCTGCTTTTAGGATTCAATGGACCGTTCGGGCAACACTCTCAAGACACACATTTGCATTTAGCTTTTTTACTGAGTGTAGTGAAAAGCCAAGTGCATGTGACAACCCCAGGAGTACTGATCATATAGTTTTGTGAACCCTAAAACCTTGTTCACATTGGCATCAGCTTGTACAATATAAGAGCAGTGTGTACAACAAGCTCTCACAAAGTATTTGCAGAGGTTTCAGCAAGCTTTGTTGAAGCCTCTAGAAGTGCTAGGGGTTCCTTAACCACTTCAAGTACAGGTCAATTTTCAGCTTTCACACTCAGTGATAATAGCGCGGTTGAGCAACACGGTACCCATAGGAAATGTTTATAATTTTTTGAGACAGAGTTTTCATTTGGTGCTATTTGATCAAAACTTGGTTTATTTTTTGCTATATAAATGAACAAATACTGAAAAATGTTTAGTTTTTGTTATAAAATTTTGCAAATCAATAATCTTTCTTCAGAAATTTAAGCCAAAATGTATTCTGCTACATTTTTGGGGTAAAAAATAACCCAAAACAGTGTATATTATTTAGTCTGTATGAAAGCTATAGAGTCTACAAACTATGGGATATATATTTGAAAACTGATCAGTTGAGACCCTAAAATGCTGGACACTTGTATGACGTATGGCAGTGATCAGGCATGAGGTATAGCAGTGATGAGTGACTGGTATGGGGTGATCAGGACATTGATTTAAGGTATGGTGGTGATCAGAACGCTGGTATGGGGTATGGTGGTGATCAGAACAGAGGCATGGGGTATGGCGGTGATCAGGATGCTGGTATGAGGTATGGTGGTGATCAAGATGCTGGTATGGAGTATGACGGTGATAAGGACACTGGTATGGCATGTGGCGGTGATCAGAATGCTGGTATGGGGTATGGCGGTGATCAGGACACTGGTATGGAGTATGACGGTGATGACGGCACTGGTATGGCATGTGGCGGTGATCAGGATGTTGGTATGAGGTATGGTGGTGATCAGGACGCTAGTATGGAGTATGATGGTGATAACGGCACTGGTATGGCATGTGGCGGTGATCAGGATGCTGGTATGGAGTATGACGGTGATAAGGGCACTGGTGTGGAGTATGACGGTGATAAGGGCACTGGTGTGGAGTATGACGGTGATAAGGGCACTGGTATGGAGTATGACAGTGATAAGGGCACTGGCATGGCATATGGGGTGATCAGGGCACTGGTATGAGGTATGACGGTGATCAGGATGCTAGTATGGCAGTGATTATGTCATTGGTATGGTGTATGGGCGTGTTATTGTGTGCACTGGGAGAGGTGACAGGGCTGGCTGTATTGTTTATTATAGACTACAATGGGCAATGATCAGGGACACTGGGGCAGTGATCAGGGACACTGGGATGGATGGCTGGCATGCCAGTTTGTGAGTGTACATGTAGCCTGACAGGCTGCTGCACACTCATAAACTGCTGCAATGCTTCTCAGAACAAATTTTTAATTTCACTTTCAATGTTTACCAATAGAGTGCTGTGATTGGTCAGAGCAGTCACATGGTAAAACACCATGTGTCTGGGCGACATTTGGATCGCTGGGCTCCCTGGTGCACACTCTGTGAGCCGCGCAGGAGCCATCAATGCAAGCCGACCTACAGATATGTTAGCCCACATTGGCAAAGCTTCCGGTCCGCCGTCTATAGGTAATGGGCAGACGGGAAGAGGTAAAAAAGTATATTACCCCAACATTTTATATTACTGATATATGTGCCTGTGCTGAAGATACCATGTCCTTGTGGCTCCAAGGATTACAGACCAGTGGCTTTGCCCTCCCTCATTGTGAAGACCTTGGAGAGACTTGTTTTACAGTCCATGGTTAGTAAAAATGTAGACCCTTTGTAGTTTGCCTGCCAGTCAAGACTGGGAGCTGAGAATGCTATCATCTTCATGCTAAATTGCATGTACTGTATGCACACCTGGATAAGCCAGCGAGCACTGTGAGGATCATGATTTTTTAATTCTCCAGTGCTTTTAATACTATCAGGCCGCATATCTTTTGATAGAGAAGCTGGCAGTGACACAGGTTGATGTTTCCCTTGTGTCATGGATTGAGGACTACCTGACAGGAAGAACGCAGTATGTGCATTTGCAAGACTTTGTGTCAGATAGGGTGATTAGCAATATTGGGGCTCCACATGGGACAGTTCTCTCTCCCTTTCTTTATACTGTCTTTACCACTGATTTCAGTTACGACAGTCTTGCCATCTTTAGATGTTTTCTGATGACACTGTGGTAGTGGGATGTATCAGGAAAGGGAAGAGTATAGGACAGTGGTAGAGAACTTTGTCACATGGGTTGAACATAACCATTTGTATCTAAATGTGACTAAGGCACCGGTGACCCCTGTCTCCATCCGAGGAGTGGATGTAGATGTAGTAGAGAATTACAATTATTTAGGGGTGCACAAGGATAATAGGCTGGACTGGAACAAGAACACTGAGGTGCTCTATAAGAAGAGCCAGAGCTGCCTCTATTTGTTGAGGAGGCTGAGGTCTTTTACCATCAGCCAGATGATACTGAAGCTGTTTTAGGAGCCTGGGTGGCCAGTGCTCTCTTGTATGCAGTGACATGCTGGGGAAGCAGGCTTAGGGTTGCCAACACCAACAGACTCAACAAACTGATTCGCAAGCCAGTAATGTTGTTGGATTGGAGTTGCAGTCTTTAACAACAGTGTTAGAGAGGAGAATATTGTTCGAGGAACATTCAATCATGGGACAACTCCTCCTACCAACTCCACAATACACTGGTCAGTCTGTGGAGTACCATCATTGACAGATTGTTATAACCACGATTCACCACAAACCATTTTTTCCTGTGGCCATCAAATTATGTAATTCTCCTCTGTGAGGACTTTTATGTAGTTTTCATAGTATGTTGGTATTAGGTAATTTATGATTTTGGGTCATGCTAGAAAAAGTTGTGTACTATTTGTATTTTAGTAGTTTGGTTTTTTTTAATCTGTGTTATTTATTCTATGTTGTATTTTAATAGTATTTATGGTTTATTAGAGTATAGTTTTAATTTAGTTTTATTCTGTGTGTGTGTTTATTGGTAATTTTATTGTGTCATTGTGTCTTGTTCCGTTCCTTGTTGAGTTCTTGTGTTGTCTTCATTGAATGTGGCTGTATTTTAATAATTTCCATTTGGGATTAATAAAGTAATCTGATTCTGATGTATTTTGTATTTGTGTTAAAAGGTATTCTGTTCTCTTTGTATTGCTTCCTTTGCGTGAAATACCTGGTGATCTTGCCAGTCCTCCTGCTTTCCCTTTTTCAAACTGACGCTAGGCATGAGAGCACATCCATTTCCGAGTGGCCAGTTTTCTGGCTGTGCTGGAAGAAATGCCTTCCTGTTCTCCAATAGGCAAGACTTGTGCTGACATGTTCCCCTGTATAGCCATTCACTGGGAAGAACAATGTGCTGCTGTTTCACCACCCCCACCTCTCCAAGCCCTTTTTGCAGCAGGGAACAGAGATGACTTATTAAAAAAAAAAGCAGTATTTATAACATTTAATTTGTACATACTCAAACAGTTTGCCTTTCATATCTATTTTAAACTGAATAGGTTATTTTACAAGGTGAGGGTTCACATATACTTTAAGCAACAAGAAATGTGTCACCCCTCAGATATGCAAACAATTGGGGAGAATTTGCTAAAACTGGAGCACTTAGAATCTGGTGCAGCTGTGCATGGTAACTAAACAGCTTCTAACTTCAATGTTTTCATTTAAGCTTTGACAATAAAACCTAGAAGCTGATTGGCTACAATGCATACCTGCACCAGAGTCTCTGTGCTCCAGTTTCAGTACACCCCTCCCCCATTATCTTTCTAGCTACTTGTAAGGAGGGTATTATTTCCACTGACCCCAAATTTAAGAAGCATTCTTCCCAATGACCACCAATGTAAGAAGCATTCCTCCCATTGACCACCATCTTAAGGAGACATGCTTCCAAATTCCCACCAATGTAAGGAGCATTCTTCCCACTGACTACCAATGTAAAGAGACAGTCTTCCCACTGACCACCATTATAAGAAACATTCTTCCCACTAACTACCAATGTAAAGAGACAGTCTTCCCACTGACCACCAATGACAGCAGCATTCTTCCCACCGAACACTAATGTATGAAGGATTCTTTCCAGTGATAACCAATGTACGGGGCATTCTTCCCATTCACTATCATCGAAGGGAGACATTGTTCCCACTTACCACCAATGTAAGAAGCATTCTTCCCACTGACTACTAACGTAAAGAGACAGTCTTCTCACTGACCACCAATGAGGGCAGAATTCTTTCCACTGAACACCAATGTATGAAGGATTCTTTCCAGTAATCACCAATGTAACGGGAATTCTTCCCATTCACCACCATTGTAGGGAGACATTGTTCCCACTTAGCACCAATGTAAGGCGCATTCTTCTCACTGATCACCAATGTAAGGGGCATTCTTCCTAATGACCATCTTCCTAATAATCATCATATGAGAAGCATTCTTCCATAATAATCATCAATATGAGAAGCATTTTTATGAGAAGCATTCTTCCTGATGATGACATTCTTCCTAATGACAATATGAGAAGCATTCTTCCTAATGACCACCAGCCTAAGAGGACATTACATTTTTCACTTCTTGTGTTTCTTATCTGGCGTTTATTAATTCTTTACTGCCCTGTTGCCTACAGCCTGTCAAAGTCTATGAGAAGCTGATAGCTTCTGTGGCTGAACAGGGTTGGATGCTGTATTATGTGGTAATACCATTTAGGGCTGTATGTGCCCAGGGAGGAATGCCTGGAACACAAGAAGTCTGTATTCCGAGCATTTGTCACTGGGCACATATTGCTCTAGATGTACGTACCCCTCCGTACAGTGTTAACCCAGTAGGGTTCAATAGTGGAGTTCAATATTGGATCCGTACCTTCTTCCCACATGAAAACGCTAGAATCTCAGGCACGGTGGCTGATCGCCCAAGTGTGTATGAGACCTACACTGACAGCTGGGATTCTGTAGGTTTGAGCAACGTCTCCCCAGTCTGCCTCTGTCTCTGATGATTTTATAAATTAGCCCCATGATACACATTGAAAGAACAATTATCGTAATAGAGAAGCTCTGTAAAAGCCATGTTTCTGTACAACAGGATATTTATATATATTAGATCTTCACTGTGTACTTCTTTAAAAATTTCCTATTTAAAAATATTTTAACTTCCCCTAAATGGTATATTTTCAGTTATGCCCCGTAATATAGAACCAATGCAGTCTATCCAAAAATACAGCATATGCATTTCCATCTCCACAACAAAATGCTGCTGAATCGCAATCTGGGGTGGGTCAGTTTGTCAGCAGTGGCTGGCCCGCAGTTAGCAGGAGATCAGGAGGTGATATGCCATCTCCCGCATGCCTGATTGAAGAGAGTTTCACACTGAAATCCCTCTCTACCATGCCACAATTGCATCCATTAGGCATAGTTGCAGCACTGGTGTTGTGTGGCCAATTCACTTCTATGGGGCGCATTGGCACACCATACCGTCTGTCAAACATGAAATGTCCTACTTTTTTTGCTACACCATGATGCAAAGACAGGCAGCTGAGGTGTGTAAAAACGTACCTCAAATATTTTGTTTCCTCAGAGATAAAGCCCATGTAATGGGGCCTTACACAGAATAAAATGGAGTCAAGAACATAAAGGATAATTATTAAACTGAAGAACAAACTGAAATTTCCGTTTAAATGGTTAGTTCAAATTAACCAAAAAACTGCCTACATAGGTAAGGGAAATCTCTAAATAAAACCAAACTGGGCAACCTTCCTATAGGTGTAGGCCATTTATGTACCTCATGAAGCCTTATTGGAATACTCCCAGGATGTTGCTCTGTGAGGCCTAGTCATTAGTGCTCACCTCCACCATCACAGGAGTGAGCTCTCAAATGCTGAACTCAGAGATAGCATCAGGGGAGGGAAAGAGCATGTG